CCCCACCTCCCCTGGGGGCCCCTCCTCCCCTGGGGGCCCCTCCTCCCCTGGTGGCTCCTCTCCTTCTGCAGGCAACTCCTCTCTTGGGTTCTGCTCATCTCCGCGTGGCTGCACCTCCCCCGTGGGCCCTTCTGGCCCGGGGAACTCCTTTTCTCCTGGGGGCCCCTCCTGCCCTTCATTCCATTCTTCAGCAACCTGCCCATCGGCAGCAGCGCCCTCAGCGTGGCTGACGTCGCCATCTGCCTCGTAGACGCCAGGGGGCCCCTCGGTAGGGAGCCCCTCCGCAGAGGGCCCATCGGCAGAGGGGCCATCTGTCTGTGCCCCTCCCGTGGGTTCAGCTGGTTCATCTGACTCGTTTACTTCTGTGTCGACTACGTCGTTTGGGGTGAGCTCATTAGTATCTTCTGCTTCTCCAGGGTCCCCAGTGTCATGGCCGCTCTCCCCAGGAGCTTCTTCTGAAGCGCACTGCCGCTGCTCCAGCTGCTGCTGCTGCAGCTGTTGGCTGCCCTGCGGTGTCGGGCCAAGCTCGCCCGCCTGGCTCGCCTGCTCAGCGTCTGACATTGTGGGGGCCGGTTTCAGAAGAACGTGAGAGCTACGGATTGGTTAAAGTGATAGCTAACTTGGTGCGCGCCCTTTTGGGCAGCCCTTCTAGGATGTACAAACAGCCCAAGTTAATAGCGAGACAGTAAGGCGAAGAGGCGCTGCAAGTGCAGCATCTTGCTGCGCCGCAGTGTGGCTGTGGATGCTCAGTAGGAAGGCTTATGCACTACAGGCCACTGAGTTTATTCTAAACTCCGAAAGTCGCCAACTCAAAGCTAACAACGAGACAGCGCCGCCTTCCTGCGGCCTGTGGCGAGAGGGACCTCCTTGCTGACGTGGCGACTAGACACGAGCCATTTTATTTTGAGTTCAAGAGACCCAAAGTAGACTAGTTATGGTAGTTACGGAAAGTGACAAGCTCCGTTTTGAGAGCCCGTGGAAGAAAGACCCTTTGGCTTTGTGCAGACACTCTAGAGGCCCATTTGCACAGAAACTGTCGGGCTTAGCGTCGCGTTTTTTCCATGAACTGCACTTGAAATTTCACCTAAAATGTTAAGATAGTTTTTTGGAAGCCAAAATTTAGCTAATATGGCCAAATGAAGAAGGGAGAAATAACAACGCAGCGAACAGCCCTAGGTGTGCAGGACAGCCAGAGGGTCACCGCCCCCCGGCCAGTTCACTCCGCTAAGGATCCGCCATTCCTCTTTCTTTCCTATCTGCTTTTTTGAGTATTTGAAATACATATTTTTAGTAGTAACATGCAACAAAAGGCCCAAGTCCACGAACAACTCTGCCCCTCATGCGCATTTATTTTGTGGGCATGAACTCTACACTGAAAGGGGTCCTCAGGGCGTACACAGATACATACACGTGAATTACTTTCCCTACATATGGATAGTGCTGCTGCGTCTGCTCTTGATCACTTCTTCGGCTGCACTTCTTGGCTGTTCAGCCACGGCAGCAACTGCAGGGATGCTTTTAGTAGATCCCCGCCAATTATATTTTCTCAAACAAAAAACAAATTGTTTAAGTAAACATTTAATTTGATTTCCGGAAATATCTCCAAGGAAAATGCAAGCGTGCACTTGAGGCCTACACAGAGGCCCCACAAAGGCTTTTAAAAACAACCAGAGGCCTCTATTGGCGCCTGTGAAGCGCTAAAGAGAGTCAACTGGGTTTTGGAAAGAATCTTAATGCTCGTAAAGTCCTCCAGAGGCATTAAAGGGCTCTTACCCGGGCTATTGAATGCCCCTAGAGGACTTAAGGGAACTTTTGAGGCCACCAAAGCCCCAGAGTCTTCAGTGATGCCCCTGCCTGCAAGCTCAGTGAGCTTTGCTGCAGGCCTCGCGCTGCAGTCTTCGTCGCTGCGGCGCTAATCGTGTAGCAGCAGCTAATGATGAGCAGGGTTGCAAGAATGTCCTGCGGTGGAGTGCCATGTAGGAACAAGTCTACAGTCTTGCAGGTGCAAAGGCATAATCAAGCTAGTTTTAAATTGTAATTATTATTATTATTTATTATTATTATTATTACTACTACTATTACTATTACTATTAATATTATTATTATTATTATTATTATTATTATCACTATTATTATTATTATTATTATTATTATTATTATTTTTATTGTTGTTGTTATTATTATTATTAATTATTATTATTATTATTACATTTGACACTTAACTTAACAACGCATTTTATATGCGTTGTTAAAGAAATAAGTTGGAGAATTGATGGACCCCTTTCCACGACTAACAGTAACTGAAGACCAAATTGAATTCTCTTCCATTTGTGTTGCATGCGCTCAGAGGGGTGCCTCTTTTGGCCTTCAGTTTAACAGTGGCTTCTGGAAGTTAAGAAACAAGAGTACGTGCAATATCAGCTACCCGTGGATTTAGGGTTTAGGGTTTAGGGTTTAGAGTTTAGGGTTCGAAGGCCTATTTTCTTCCGAGGAGAGGGGCGGTTCTTTGGCAACAAAGTCCAGCAAATGAATAGAAGGAGAAGTAGCAGAGAAAGAAATAACAACAAAAGCGAATGGTAGAGAGGCAGCACCACACATACCAAATGCCACCGGGCTCTTGCTTTGCTGTTTTCGACAAAGGCAAAACTGGGCCCTTGGCTCTTCTTCGAGAAAATACCACATTGAAAAAAAGACAAGTCAGAAGATGCAAGATTGAAGTGCTCACAAGCAGAAAAAGATATAAAGCTGAAAGCAAGAAGAATCTCCTGGCTTCTGCTGCTCAAACAGATGCCCTTGCATGCGCTGAGCTGTATTTACAGAGCAGATTTCTTTTGCAATGGACTCAATTCGAAACTCTCGTTTTATTTCGGATGTTTCAACGCAGCTGTGCTTGCTGCTGCGCAGATAATTTTGTTCCATATATTTTATACATATGTTTGTACGTATGTTTATATGTTTGTTCAGTGCTTGTTCAGCTACGCAGATAGACTGCCTTCCACAAAACATACAGAACTGTTCTTGAGAAACCTGCCTGCTATATGCTTGTTCCGTGTCTAAGATTTGTTGGTAGAAGGCCTGTATATGGGCCGTAGGAATCATATACGCACAACTGTTTAAGTAGGAATTTGTAGGCCTAAAGCTATGTTTGTGCTATAGAAAAAAATGCGTATTAAGCCCCACTTACTAGTAGGAGCCCACGCATGAACACAGTTATTGATGCGTGGGTTTGGGGTTTAGGAATTAGCGTCTAGAGTTTAGGGTTTACGGCTTGTATTTAGGGTTTAGGATCATCTAAAGATACAGGCCTGTGCCTGCTTCCGTAGGTGCAAGCATATTCTTTAAAAGTGTATTTGTAGAGGCCTGTGCATATAGACTACCTGCTGTTGCCGCAGCCGCTTTTCCTAGACATTCCCTACTTGCTGAGCCAATCTAGAGTTGAACAGAAAGAAAAAAGAGTTTATGTTTACACAGCTTGCCATATATACTGTCTCCTTTTATTTCTGAAGGTCACTGAACTGCTGAAGCTGCAGCAGAGCCGAATCAGCTGTGTATACACCGGGCGCGCACTCACAACCAGAAGCTCATTTACATTTATTTCTTTTCAGTTAAAAGAATTAAAAGAAACAACTAAGTCCATTGCCAGGTTCCTAGGAGGTCAGGCTGGTGAGTGCCTTGGGGGCCCCACGGGGCCTCTGGTGTTTCAGGGGCCCCTTCAATCAGAGCTGCTGGGCAGTCGGGATGTTGTTAAGAAGCAAGAAAATTGCACTTTCGCGATTTAATATACATTCTTTACTTTTTTGTTCACTTCAAAACCACTGAGAGCAGTGTTCTACGCCTACTGTGGGGCCCGAGGGCTCAGTTTCCTGGCTGTGAGCAGCAGCCGCCGCCTCGTTGCTTCTTCATTCCTTTTGCCCTCCATTTAGCCTGACTATTACTCCACGTGCTCCGCTAGGCCTTAAAATACTGGGAATAGGGGCAACGCAAGAAGTTGAGTTCCCGCAGGCCAGCCTCAGCTTGCGGGAGCAGCTGCAACAGCAGCAGGAAGTTCTTTCGCCCGATTGGCGAGAAGCTATCAGCAGATTGCTGCTGCTGCTGCTGCTGCTGCTGCTTCTGTCTTCGCTCTTGGGGGCTCCTGCTGAGCAGCGCAGCCTCGCAGAAGAAGGCCTTTCACTTTATTCAAATAATTCTGTAGAACTCGCAGCAGCAGCAAATTCAATTTCGTGGAAGTGCCGGGGTTTGAACCCTCGCTGCAGCAGCAACTTCTTGCAAGTGCTGCGGTTTGAAGACGCAATCCAAATTCTTGCAAGGGTTCGATCCCTTGCTGCAGCAGCAAATTGAATTTCTTTCAAGTGCCGGAGCACAAAGCTTTGCTGCAGCAGCAAGTTGAATTTCTTGCGATCGCCGCAGTTCGAAGCCTTGCTGCAGCAGCAAATTGAATTTATGCAAGTGCAGCAAATTCAGTAAATCTGTGCAAGTGCAGCAGAATTTAGTTTGCTGCAGCAGCAGTTAAATAATTTTGTGCAAGTACGGGAGAATACAATTTGCTGCAGCAGCAAGTCAAGTAAACTTGCGTAAGTGCGGGACAGTATAATCTGCTGCAGCAGCAAATTTTATTTGTGCAAGTGCGGGACAACATAATCTGCTGCAGCTGCAAATTAAATAAAATTTTGAGAGGGTATAATTTGCCGCGGCAGCAAGTTAAGTAAACTTGCGGGAGAATATAATTTGCTGCAGCAGCAAAAGCCGTTGCTGCAGCAAATTTACTTAACTTGCGGGAGAATATAATTTACTGCAGCAGCAAAAGCTGTTGCTTCAGCGGCAGGTAAAGTTTGTGCTAGTGCCGGGGTTCGAACCCGCGCGGCGGCCGGGCCGCAGCGGGAAATGCGGTGGCTCAGAGGCGCGCAGCGCGAACTGCTGCTGCGGGGGTCACCTGCGTTTCGAGTGGGAGTTTGGGTAGCAGGTGTTGGAGGGGCTCTTTTGTGGATTTATTTTGAAGAAATAAACAAACCTTTGAAAGAAAGAGTTTTGTTTCTCCCCGCGAAGCGACAAATTCCCATGGAAGCAGCAGAAATCGAAGCCTGGAACCTCGGGCTCTCCGGCGGCAAGCTGCTGCACTGCAGCAGCAGCGAGCAGCAGCAGCAGCACGGCGTCGAGGCCGCCAGGGCCAAGGCCCTCGAGGCCATCAAGCAGCAGGAAGCAGCAGAAAAAGACAAGCAGCAGCAGCAGCAGCAGCAGCAGACCTGGCTATCCAGCTTCCTTGGCCTCGGCAACAACACGGAAAATGCAAAGCCCAAAAAGGTTTCCTTTTTTTCCGACAAGTGAAACAACGAGAGGTTCTCTAGTCCCTGCTGCGCTGCTGCTGCGGCTGCTGCGGCTGCTACGCCACAGCAGCAGCAGCAGCAGCAGCAGCAGCAGCAAGACAGGGGCTTTTGCAGGGCTTGTTCAACTACGAGGCGCCCGTTCGCGTCTGCCATTGCTAGACGCAGGAGGGCGCTCGGCTCATAATATGCATTTACACTCATTGCAGCAACCTGCCGCTGCTGCTGCTGCTGTTGTGACTGCTGCTGGTGCTACTCGCCTTCAGGCCCCTCAGCAGTCCAAGTAAAGGAACGCAGACGCATGCGCGAGGAGGGGCCCCCCGAGTGTTCTTTTGGGGCCCCCTCTGCGTGTTCAGATAGCTCATTTGCTGCTGTTGCTGCTGCATCCGGCGTTTCTGCAGCAGCAGCAGCGGCAGTTTCTGCAGCAGCAGCAGCAGTTTCTGCCGCAGCGGGAGCAGCTGCTGCGCCACCGCCGTTGAGTTGCTGCAGCGCCGAACGGTGGGGGCCCTCTGGGGGCCCCAATTGTTCTTTTTTTCTCTTTTCATTCAAAGTTTTTTGAACTTCCGACATAAGACTTTCCAAACGCTGAGGGGTCAATTCTATGCCAAATAGCAGCGAGAGAAAACGCTCAGACTGCAGCAGCATTGCAGCAGCACACACAAACGCTTGCATGCAAAATTAATAACGAGCTAAAAGTGGCATTTAAGGGGATATTTGCATGCACACTTCCAAATGCTCCTTTATGTAATTCGATGCATGCACATAACTGCATGTACGGAGAGACCGCAAAAATATACATTTACCATATGGAAAATATGTTATTTATATGCGTTATATGTTCAATGAATATACTTAAGATAATATATATGGATACGTATTCCATATGAATTACACTTCAAGGCACTTTGTTTTCTAAATTATATTCAAGATGTACAGCCGCATGCAGACAGACAAAGCAGCCACATGCATGCACAAGAAGTACATAAAGCCCCAACTCTTTCTCCGAACTGCCCTTCCGTGCTGCTGCTACTGTTGCTCCCACTACTGCTGCTGCTGCTGCTACTGCTGCTGCCTCACATGTATGGCTTGGAAGCGCGTTGTCGTGGAGGGCGAGAGAATGGCCATGCATTCATCTAGCGATCCTTTTTGCAGTTCTTCATGGAAGTAAGACACAATCGCGAGCGACGCCTACGCAGCAGCAACAGCAGCAGCAGCAGCAGCAGCAGATGCAGCAATGCAGCGAGCTGCTGTAGCAAGCCATCTCGCAACACACCCCGTCTGCCCTATCCTGAGCTTTTCATTCATGCAGAAAGGGCAGCCCACTAGCTGTGGGGCCCAGCAGAAGCGTGAGGGCCCCCAGCAGCAATGTGGTAGCCCCCAGCACCAGCGTGGGGGCCCCCAGCAACAGCGCGGGGGGCCCCAGAAGCATCATGGGGGCCCCCAGTAGTAGCATGGGGGCCCTCCAGCAGCAGCATATGCGCCCCTAGTTGCTTGTGTACCTGGAAGAGAAGAACATCTCCTTTAATGATGAACAAGTCCCACACGCGGCCTAGGAGCTCAAAGGGAAGACACCTGGGCGCCGCAGCAGAAGGCAATAGTTGCTGTTTAGGTAATTTGGAAAGAAATGCAAAAGGAATTAATTAATAAAAAAATACAAAACAGAACAGCAAACACGAATGCAAATAACATGCGAAAGAAACCGCTGCAGCAGCCGCAGCAGAACTAGCAGCGGAACAAGCAGCAGCGTCCGCAGCTGCACCGCAGCATCTGCTGCAGTAGCTGCAGCAGCAAAAGCAGCAGCTACGACACGCACAGCAGCAGCACAGACTCACACGCACACGATGCAGCAGCAGTAGCGCAGGCACGCGCACACAGCAGCAGCAGAAGCAGCAGCAGCAGCACACACCAGCAACAGCAGCAACAGCAGCAGCGCAGCAACGCGCACACACCAGCAGCAGCAGCATTAGCAGCGGCGCCGCCACACAAACACAGAGCACGTGCAGCAACAACAGCAGCAGCAGCAGCAGGAGCAGTGGCGAGACAGACCTCGTGAATAAGGTGTACATCCAGTCCACGAGGAAAACGTCAGTTTGAAGTCCAATCTGCTGAAAGTGCTGCAGCAGCAGCGGGTGCTTCTCCCTCAGCAGCAAATCGAAAGTGCGGAAGTAGCCCTGGACTGTGGCCATGTCGAAGGTGTAAAACGCATGCAGCGACGGCCGCAGCTGCAGCAGCAAGCAGCAAGCAGCAAGCAGCAGCAGCCGGCGTGTCCAGCTAGTTACTGCCTCTCCTCGCTTTGCTGCTGCTACATTATTCAAACAATGTCATTTTAAAATTTAATTAATCCATATGCTTAAGTTTGCACATTTCACTTCACCGCACTGCCTCGAGAAGCAGCAGCAGCAGCAGCAGCAGCGGCGATTGCTGCTGCAGCATGAGCATAGGCGGCAGCACGCGTCTGTGCAGCAGCAACCGCAGCAGCACGTCCATCCTGAGCAGCAGCAGCAGCGGCGGCGGCGGCACGCTTCTCCTTAGCAGCAGCAGCAGCAGCAGCAGGGGCGCACCATGAGGTTGGCGAAGCAGACGAAGGCGGAGTACTCGTCCATGTACAGCAGCAGCGTCGCAGCAACAAATGCCATTCCTTGCACGTAACCCAAGTCCGGCCGCAGCATCACAAAAACTTCCAAAACATTTTGCAAAAAAGGTTCCATTCGGTCCCCCCAAGACACTCCAAAGGGTACAGGAGTCACAGCCTGCGAGGGGGGGGGGAGGCTGGGGGCCCCCGCGCCTGCGCTGGGGCCCCCGGGGGCCCCCGGGGGGCCCCCGGAGGGGCCCCCGGGGGCCGCTTGGGGGCTCTCGGGGGGGCCGCCAGCAACTGATGACTCAGCAGCTGCAGCGCGGGAACCGCGGGGCCCACATGGCTCCTTCTTAGGAGCAGCAGCAGTAGCAGCAGCTCCTGCAGCAGCAGCCGAGCTGGGCAAAACCGCTCCGATGCAGGCGCCTTCTCGCCTACTGCTGCTGCTCCCGCTGCTGCTGCTGGTGCTTGTGCTGCTTTTGCTGCTGCTGCTGTCCACGTCGGACGGAAAGGGGTCGGAAGCAGCAGCAGCAGCAGCAGCTGCTGCTGC